ATAGTGTGTATGAAGAGATCTTTCTATGGTTATGAGGGCATAAACTATGGTTAGTCTTACAAATCCTCCCCTTTCACCTGCACAGTCCTGGCAGTGTCAAAATGTCCTTACGTGGTCTTACATAAGGAGGAGGAAAAGCCTTCCTGAAATTGTCTAACTCTGATACCTACCTTCATCATGCCATGTGTATATGAGCTCCTAGGGGAAGAAAAAAAGCACTGTTTCTGTTCCTGTCTCACTCATTTTTAGAGACGGTACTCACCACTGCAGGCAGGAAGGTACCAGTGACTCGTGCTGGGGATGCACAAAAAACATTTTTCACCCTGTTCCACCACCCACTTCCCACGTCACCTAGGACAAATCACTTTAGTGACATGGCATCTGTCCTCCTTGCCACAGTTCATCCCAATGCTCACTTCTGTTCGGATGGCATGAATCATTCAGTAGAAATTCTGGTACTCTCATTCACTACAGACAGCACACAAAGGACAAGTTTAGTTGAGAAGAATAACTTTGAGGCAGCTACAGTGAGATGAATTCCACCTTTTGTCTCTATATCTCATTTCACCCTTATAAAAGAAAGCTAGAATAACATTTCCTTACCTGGCCAGGGTTTTATGAAGTTAAATACATTTAATTACTACCAGATTGCCACTGATCTATCTCCACTGGATGTTAGCACCTAAAGGATACATGTAGTATTAACACAGTATTTTCAGTATTTCCCTCTCTTCCTTTCATTCTGCAGCCCGGCACATCTTGTATGACTGCTTGACCACACTGAATGGATGTTTTCTGTGTGCTCTCCCCCTCCATATCTTGTTTTCTACTAGCTTATTAAGAGCTGGTCTCTGTATACTGAGTTCTGAAGGGTGACCTTTTTATCAGCAGCCCACTGTTTTTTGCAGCCAAACAGTTCCATCTTTTGAAGAGTAGTCAGGTCCCTTTTGGAGTGTCAACTTACTTTTTTTGACAAAACCTCAAATCAAAATGCCATAATTTAAACATCACAGTTTTATGTTCTGCTTCTGAATTAATATACCAGTGGGAATCTGGTATTGGCATTTTGGCCTTATTTAGCACTAGATTCAAACCAGCTTAAAAATGTCTCTCTGATGCAGGGTGTAAGCCAGCCAGCTTTTCTCCAGTGACTTTGCAGGAGAAATGCCAGTGCTATGGAAAAATTCTGGAAGAGTCTTGGCGAGGTAAAGACACCTCAGTCTTTGCCAATGATCGTAAGATAGATAACAAAATAAACTGTGACTGTCTCAATTGTGGAGCTGCATGGAGGGTCCCAGATTTCAAAAGGCTCCTCCAGTGCCCCAGTAGCAGGAAGGGCA